CTTTCCCTGAAGCCTCTAGAATGCTAGAACTAAGGAGAAGAAGAAAGAGTTAAGATATTTCCTTTCTCCTGACCGGCAACTATTAAAACTTAGATTACTGAAATACTAAACCACGAGTGTAAACTAGCTATTGAGATACTAAGAACAAAGGAAAAAGAACTAGTGTTTTAAGAACTTTAAGAGACTATCCAATGGTATTGAGCACTCTGAAATATCAAACCACTGTTCAGTGTCTTACGTTGTGCATCCAAAATCTGTAGTACTGTCTAGTGATTAAGATACTGTGTTCTTTACATTAACATTACGTTATTCTTAGTACCCACATAATATTCTTACTGCATTTGACAAGGACTGTTTAAGAGTTAATAGCGCTGCATAAGACCACTTCTCTGATCTGCAAACAGAGTAAGATGCATTATCTTCGGAATTATGTTAGCTCTAGAGTTAACCACAGGATGAAGAGATGCCATCTCCGCAATGAACCTCATTTTAGCACAAGGTAAACATACTTCCCCCACATCAGCTAGTCTCACAGCATTAGTGGCGTGTTGTGATTGATTACCCGCAGAGTGTTGCTGAGATATGGATTTGTATCTCAGCTTTTTATCACTATGACTTGCAAAAGGCAGTTCCTTATTTACAGACTCTAGCTGTATTAAGTGACATTATTAGGTACTACTTTTGTTTAAGTGACACAAAGGCTTAGCATATTGGTGGTTTATGACATACAAGCTGTTTTAATCTGATGACTTACCCCTCACTTTTTCAATTTGTAAATAGGAGCTGCAGCACAAGAACATATGGTACTAAAGAAATTAAAGCTAAAGTAAATGGCATTAAAACAAATTCAAATATAACAATAGGATACTCAATCTGAATTATAAACCTGGATCTGTATTAAGACTTTTAAAAACAGGAAATAAAAACCTAAATATGAAAATTAACCTTTCAGGTGTTTTTTTTTAAAGACCATTTCAGGGGTTTACTCTGATTGAGTAATTTCCTTATTAACCCTCATTACTTAGATCTTATAGTTAAATGAATAAATCAGTAAAGATTTTTTTTTAATAATTGAAACTAGGTCTGAATACCAGATTACTAAAAATTACTTGTTTACCTTTTTAACTTTTGGGTTCATACCATATTGCTTCTGATACAGTAAAAATATGTTATGTATTCTTAAATGTTTATTACAGTAAATACACTTGCTTATATCTATAAACATCATCACTGAGCACAAAACCAAAAAAGAGCCCAGCAAAACTGCCAGCCTAATGTTCATATTCCATACCAAATATCAATAAAAAGACAATGAAAAAAAAATTAGATTTTCCTAACTTTGTAATACTATAGCAGCTTACTCAAAAAAGGAGTTTCATTATACTTTTCCTGTAAATAGGAAGATTTCCCTCATTATCATTCTGCAGATAAGCTCCAACCTCTAGCATATGAAGCATCATGTACTACAAAGGATCCAAAGTAAAGACGTTCCTTGTGTACTTAAATTTTAATTTAAGCACGTGCTTAATTTATACCAATCAATTTGATACGTGGGATTAGTTCCATCAGCTTTTAATCCAGCAATGACTCCATCAAAGACAGTTTTTTGGTACAGCCTTACACTTAGCGCACTCTGACAAAAGTAGTTTTTCTCATATGATGTATGTTACTTCAGCTAAGTATAGCAGCAAAAGTATTTTTATACCACTATAAAGACTTTCACATAACTGCCACTGCTATACTGCATTTCTACTCAACTGAAATATCTCTTTTCAGAACAACTTATTCAACTTATGTATGATTTTTTTATTTTTCATTTTTATTATAGCTTGGAAGGTTGGTTTGTTGTGGGTTTGCGGGGTTTTTTTTTGGTTTTGGGGTTTGTTTTTTTTTAAATGTGCAGGTATCTACTTGGTTGTTTGCAGCAATAAAGTATCTATCTATGTAATTTTACACAGAGCGAATTGTAAACAGACTTCTCCATTCTCCTATCTATATACATAAGCCATCCTGAGAAGCATATTCATGAAAGAAAGAGGACTGGCAGTGGGATCTGTTTTTAGCAGTCTCTTAGGCTTCAGAATAAGAAGCATGTATGATAGTACTTCTAAGCACAAAAATCCCTGAGTTAAAATCTGTAAAGTATGCCAACACTAACATTGACACAGTCAATGCAGACTAAGCACAATTCCTTCTAACATGACTATAAGGATTCTCCTTTTGGGGCAACAAGAGAAGCAGCTGCTTCGAGGTGGTTTTACTCTCAGCTGTGTTATGTACATTGCACTGCCATTAGTCTGACATCTCCAGTAACTGGCTAACTCGTAATACCTAACCATTAGTTGGGCAAACACCAGCAAAGAATGGAGCAGAGGTTCGAACTACCTAATTTGGTAATATTTCTGGCATCTGATACTTTGTATTTACTGTACTGTAATAAGTTTGCAAACATGACAGTCACTATCCACTATCACTCCCCAAAACAGGAGACAAGTTAGCCAAGGAAAGCTGCGCAGTTCACTGTAATAAAAACAAATAATCCTCTGACCTTAAACACTTTGGAGTCACTGCATTCAAGTATCATTCAGATTTCACATTTTTAAAAAAGCAGTTAGTAGCCTAATATAAACAACAAAACCCATGACAATTTCTAGGCGTTGCTCACTTAGAATGCCTGCCGTTGTACCTTTCTCTGGCAGCTCGACACCCCAGGCAGCACTTCTGGCCGTTTGGGATCCTAGCCAAGGCCCTTCTTCAGTTTCAACAATCTTTTTTTCAAAAACCCAACTCAGGTTAATTCTTCTCAAGGAACTATCAACAAAACAAATAGCCGGTTCTCTGTACATCTGCTGCTGCTATTTGCTTTGGAGAATGTTGCGTTTGAATTAAAAAGTGCATAGCACAGTGATTCACTAAAATAAGGAATCTGATTAGACAATTACCTAAACACAGACACACATCACTTTTTCCCTCCCCAAAAAGAACAATTTACTTAGTGAATAATCCAGTGTAAGTTATGAGCATAAAGTGCAGATATCTATGTTGAGAATATACTCTTCTGTAAAGGATATGTCTCCTGAACAGATGGAAAGATCTACCTCTTCAACAACCACTAAAGATAGGAGGAACACAGATACGCATTAACCAACAAAAGCATTTCCATTTAGATCATTTCTCCCCCTAGATACATATTACGATGTAAGAACTAAGAAAGCTTCCATGTCACTTTGCCTTTATGAAAAACATACACAGGGAAACAGGAAATGGACTCTGCATTCCTCATCCTTTCCTTCTCCTTACATTTTGTATGAAAATTGAAGACAAGAAATCTTGCACCCAGGGCAGAAATTGTTCTGCTGGATATTCATTCAATTACCATAGGGTTTCCAGAAAGGCTGACATCCTGTTAAGTACAAATCTTTCCTGAACTTCCTTTTCAAGACTAAGACAAGTGAGGAACAAGATGCTCAGAAAACTCAGTTCGCATCTTCTGACAGTGTAGACAGAATTCAGGTTTCCATTTCAGGTCGTTCTGCTCTGGGAAATTCGTATTTCATCTAAATTACTACTCCCATAGAAGCTAGAAAATTTCTTCAACTTGGTAAGAAAGGTGGGTTGTGGTTCTTTGGTTTTGTTTTGGCTTTTTTTTAATAGTTTTTTCCTTGGTTAAACAGTAACACAATTCGATTTATGGAAAAACTAAATGCTCTGTCCTCCCCTTCAAAACGTAACAGAGAATGAGTTCCTTCTCTCTGTCCGCGAGTGACAGAGGTGTAAAGAGAAGCTCCAGTGGTACTGGCACTCGATCAGAAGGGCAGATTAGAGGCACGTGCCTGAAATGTCTTGCCTCAACACTGGAGTGGAAGAAACAACAAATTCAACCCCTCAGAACGGGGTATGAATCATATCCTTGCTTTCAGGTCCTAGGTCTTGACTAAATCCAGACACCCGATCTAGACACAATGTTCACAAGAATTCTGCCATTGATTTTAGTAAGGACAGACTCCACTTCAGCTGCTTAATACAAATGAAGCAACGGTACCAGAAAGCATGCTGGTGAAGTTGGCTGTCTTTATGGTAGCTAAACTCTTAAAGTCTATCATAAACAGTAGCTGGCTGCAAGGACTGTTCCATAAAATTCTCACAGCATAGGACTTCAGCTATGGGCGAGAGGGTAATAATTCTTATTCTAATTGTGAGGATGAAGTGGATATGAAAAGGCAGCAGAATAGCTTTAAGATTCAAAACACCTGTGCAAAATCTGATGTTTCCACAAGGTGCTGAACAGAGGTAATGGTCAAACATGCTTTGGGGAAAAAACCCCTACATTTTTCTGTGATCGTGATTTCTGATGATTTTTCTAATGATAGCCTAAGAAGAAGTTGCTGAAAACATTTTGTCACAAATTTTCACAAACTTCTGTTAAGTCTATCTGCGTAAGGACAAGTGAGCATTAAGAATATTTTTTCCTTTTTATTTCATCTTGTTACCTGGCTTTTTGGACAAGTTAGGAAAATTACTACTTTTCTAACCATACTCAGAAAACTTAAAATATTGTTATATTGAAATACAGAGATACACTACAGTATAATTTTGAAAGCAAAATCCTCAAAGCTATTGCAGAGTCAAAATTTTCACTTCTTAGTGTTTAAAATACAGAAACAGTTTTGCCTTAAGACCAAGCCCTTGAGTCTGCCATCTGTACTGCACTTTATGCAGAGAATTTGAGAGTATTCTTCCAGGGAAGAAGATCTAACCACAGGGCAGAGCAAAAATATCATCTGCCTACACTTCCTACAGAGACAAAAGACACTGAGAAAGACAGCTTGCCATAAACAGAGTTTACAAATTACAACATTTTACTGTACATATACAAGAAGAAAGTATAATTTATGAACGCCATACTTTATGATGATACTCAAATATTGCAAATCCTTTACAGACTACCAGGCCTGCTTAAGTAATCATTAATTTACAAAGCAAGAAACTCTAATACTTACATAGCTGTGACTCTTAAGGAAATCTGAAGGGTTGCTTGTGCAGACTTTATCCCCTTCCAAGCCAATTACTCTTTTACAGATATTTGATTTGGGGTCATTTGGGCTTTTCACAATTACAATATCTCCTCTGAGACGAAAAAACAGAAACAAAAACAAACAGAAGAACTCTAAGTACAAACTATTTGGCTGAATACATGTGCATCAATGTGTATACTCCAAAAATATTCAGGTACATTAAAGATACTTCCTTCTGCTGAAAATTCTTGTGTACAATTTTGGATTCTTCAGTTTTACTCAGGGTGTAATTTTACACACAGTTTTTAAAGTACATTTGGAGAGATTCTTTGGTATTTAGATCATTTATGAAACATTTAAGACTACATTTTAATTGACAACACTCTGATGAAATGAATGCCATTTAACTTGATCCTGTTGCTACATAAATATGGAACAGAAGAGATTCCATGTTCCTCAATGTTATTGACCAAATGTTATTCTTCCAATGGAACGTCAATTGTCTAATCTGAGTTAGTAAGACCTTATATTACTTTTGCCTCCTGATTATATACATTAGATTGTACAGTGAAACAGTCCACAACAAAATGGGCGAGGCCCTTGAGCCTACTGTGCTCTACAACATGGTAATAAAACGACATAATGACATTTGATAAACGGTACTTACACCATTTGGTCACTTTCCTGACAACCTATCTGAGCAGAGCAATACCTGAGCACAGCTTGGTTTGCAAGACAAAACGGCTTAGAGAGGAGAAGTTACACTCACACAACAGAACTGTTTTAGAGAAAAAAAAATGGGCATTTTTCCATTTTTTGGACAAGGCCATAAAGTGATATAGACTATATCCTAAACAAACTCTGACAAGTTGTTCAATGGGCTGTATGTGTTGATTACTTTACCTGCTGTCAGACACAATGAGAGGAGATTTATGAAAAATTACAATTTAGAAGCAGAAGAATATATGAAAAATAAACGATGGACAGAAAGTGGTTATTGACAAGCTCTGGCAAATGGAATGCAAAATCTAGTCTCAACAAAAGAGCATACTTTCGAATGCAATAAAAGTGGCGGCTAAGGTTCTCCGAAAAGACAATATCAGAATTTTGAATAGTTGGTTCCATTGAAGGTCCAGAACACTGCAAATTAAAAATAAATGAGAAAAAATTACTATTTCCAATTACTTTTATTTAAAATACATTAATATTCATATTATTTGCTAATAAATTAGAAAAGGTGTAATGTAAAGAACAACTAAAAAAAGTGAGATCCTCCAAGGAACAACTGATACAATTAAAAGGTGAGGACAGCCTCCAGTATTCTGGAGCTCCGTATTCGCTCAGGATTGGTCCTGAACTGCGCTAGGTGCTAGGAGCCCTTACATTTCAGCACCTAATCTGCAGGAAATTATTTGGAGCAGCACTCGGAGCTCTGCCAGCTTACCCCTTTCTTCAGCCTCTGTAAAAGAGAAGCATCACAGAAGCTGCAAGAGCAGCTCACAGCCAAAATCCACTACATCCAGCAGCAGTGTCTGCTAGGTTTAAAAATGCGGGAAGGGAAGGGCAGCATAAAACATCCAGAAACCTGCCCAGAGTTGGAAACGAGCATTTCTTACGGCATTATTAGTGACTCCAGTCTTTCTGAAAGAACATGCTCCCTGCAAAATGCTTAATCACAGTTTCCCATTTGCTTCAGTGACACTTCAAGCAGTAACTTGGCAAAAAATATGAACGCCTAAAGTAGAAATAACTTTCATAAAGGCTTGACCTGCCTCCAAAAAACTAGGCATTTACTAAACACACTTTGAAAAAGCTTTAAAAAAAAAAAAAAGAAGAAATCTGAAATATTGGCATTATCACATATAACAATTTCAGTATTATAGTTTTATGTTCTTTTAAATGTCATGAAAATGAAAAGTTACCACAACAATTCCTCCAAGGTACTCAAAGGCACAATGTGCTATGCAGCCATATTGCACAGTATACCCAAGAAATCGAAAGGTTTTTCCTAGGACATTGCGAAGCATGGTACAGTGTTACGTCGTTCAGCTGGTTCTAGTCTATAGTAAAACAGAAGAGTATCATTCATTTGATAACAAACAACCTAACATTTACAAAACTATCTTTTGTATCTAACAACTGATGGACAATATTTAAAAAAAAAAAACAGTGAATAAAACCAACAATCAATCAGATATATCTGAGGAGATAAATACAGTTTAAACCGAAATGTCATCAAGAAGTCTTTAGTTTACTACACAGATACTTCCACGTGACCCCTCTCACCAGCTTATTAGTAAGATTCAGTTGAGTAGGAGCAGAAACAAAAAAAAAAACTTTGCCAAACTAAAGAAATTAATGGGAGAGAATGGTGTCAGTGCTCTCCACTGACTCGGCTGGGCTTCTTTTACTTGAGGCTGCAGACAGGCTTACCTGCCACATGTCTAAATAGCTGCAACAGTTATGAGAACACCCTCCCCTCCACCAGGCTTGGCTGAATGGAATCTGGAAAGCTGTAATCATACCTTTAATGCAGGCTTCGACTTCTTGCCTGGACCACATATTGTAACTCGGATGCAGTTATTTATTAAATAACACTTGACAGAGTTGTTTTAATCACGTGAAGACGGTGCAACTTAAATCACTGTTTTTCTTCAAGCACTAGTATTTAAAACTCAACACTCAACAGCAAAACAGAGAAGCATCAAACCATCTGAAGTGATTTGAAGATATATCACAACTGAAATTACATTCACAGAAAACTGGAGTAATCAAGTAGTCAACCAAAACTTCAAAAGCGACCTGACAATCAATCAAGTTAAAATAGGCTTGGAGAACTAGACAAAATTAAGGATAATGGAGTCCTGAATGGCTTGCCCAAATATGACTAGAAAAAGAATACAGTTATTGATAGGAATTCTGGAGGTTTTGCAAAGCTTTCCTTTGACTAGACTTTCATTACCCAAACACCTGCATATAAAAATAAGGCATTAGGTCTTTCTGTTCTCAGCTACAGTACAGTGGCCTAAGTTCTGCAGCATATAAAAGGACTCTCTAAATATTTTCTGATCCCCTCCCCCAGAATATTTAAGTCAATCTCTGATGACTAATTGCAACTACTGCAATGTTAATCTAACTAATATGCTTCCTTACCCCAATTTTTAATAAATATATTTCCATTTAAGGAAGTGGAAAACACACATACTGAAGTAACTGAAGCAAGCTTACATTCTGCAAGAAACCTGTCCCCCTTAAACTCAGTTATCAGCTTTATCATGAATTAAAACCACAGCAAGATTTCCCTCATTTACTAAGATGGGTCAATATAGCTTGCTAAACAAATGCAGTAAGTTAAAAAGGGAAAAAGGGAAAGAAAAAAAAAAAAAGTGCTGCGTGTACAATATGCCCTACTTAATAATGAAGTAAAGACCTCCGCTTCTATATTTCATGATGTTCTGCTATTTAAAAGGGCATAGCTTTACTTGCACAACTCTCTCGAAGTTAATGGGAATTTTGCCTGAATACAGTCAAAAGTGGCTTTTGTTCTTTGCATTTAGTATTTATTTATAAATAAAAAAAGACCACCATTCTTGGGGGAAAATGTTCTCTATCAAACTAATTTCTTTGTTCCAAAAAAGATGTACTTGCTTTTTTTTTTTTTCCCTTTTTTACATAAAAGATCTCCAGCGTAAATCCACTTAAACCAAACTGTGATTCATCATCCTTAATATTAGCTAACGAGTTTCACAGTAATGAACCAAAATACCACAGAAAACAGAAGAGTCTTGAATTGTTTCATTAGCACGTGCAGTGCCCAGCACACTGCAGGACACCCTGTAGAAACTGAAACAGCTTCACTGTAAGAGAAATGCACTTTCAGCAGAATTTATTCTGGAGAGCCAGAAAAGTGGTTTGCTCTTCTCAACCCAGTACGCTATGAAAAGCATGGACCAACTCCTTGCTCTCAGGGCCAGAAACAGTGAGCCCAGAAATGTGTTACAGGTGATAAAAGGAAGAGAGCGACAGCAAATCGATTAGGGCTGCACAACTAGTGTGAATGCATGAGAAGTACATCATCAATACTTCTTAACAGCACCTGCTAGAAAGGCAGCCTCACATTGCTTCTCAGACAGAAAAATACTGCACAACCATTGTGTATTTCAGATCCATGCTATTCAGAAATGTTATATTAATATATTAAGACAGTATAGAATTCAGGCACCTGTGGATATTAGAGGTAAAAAGGAATTGTATAAACATTGCATTACATTGGCCAAAGTAGGTAAATCTTGTTGAGTGCGCCAAATGGAATGGTAACGACAGACTCCTTAAGAGAAAATGTAAACTTCTCATGCCAACAGCTATCAGGCTATAACTAAAATAATTTTTTATTATGAAACTACAAATAACTGCTAAATGTCTCTTCAAACTGATTGCAACTGGTTTCCTGTTGGACTCCGGATGACATGTACTCCCCATAGTTACACTGAACACATACATTTCTCTCTGATGTCTCTGAGTAACTCTGAATTAGGAGGGATAGATTTGTAAATTATTCAAGGAAACACAGGGTTCAGAGTGAGCTTTACCTACTGCTAGAGCTGTCATGGTATAAAACCAACCACGAGGACAGAACATGAGTGAAGAAGCCTCAAATTTTGTTCCCGGTTCTCTTAAAATAAATTCTTAACCCCTGAGACATGGATTTCACCAGTACCAGTTTATAAACGTGGCACAATGGATTTTTTAAAATGTTCAGGCTTATCAGATGTTCATGATAATGATGAAAAAATTCTTAGCTTTTAGATAAGGCTTTTTATTACTACTCAAGAAAGTTAATTTCAAATTAAGGCATGTATATAGTACCTAGATTATACATAGTTTGAACCTAACAAGATAACTTCAGAGGACTGGGGTTTTTGTTTTTAACATTAAGGTCCCTCTTTAGACGTCTAATGTTCATTCCATAGAATAACTACAATCCTGAAAGTTTCCATGTAGTTTTAAGTAACAACTTCTAGTTAATAAGTGAATGGTTGTAGTAAGGGTAAGCCCAGTCAAAAAAAAAAAAAACCAAAACCAAAACAAAATAAGTCTAGTTTATTAAAAAAACCCCCACAAACTATTTCTCTTACAATTGCTCTAGCATCAGTAAAATGTAATTGTTACCTCAGAAAACTATTTATCAGTACATTTTTAAACAATGCCATATTGTTCATCACAGGAAGGTAAATGGCAGAACGTTTTTCCACATCACACAATTAATTTTAATACAAAGTGCTGTCAGCAGGCAACTCCACCAGATACAGCATAAGACCATTAAGCACAATAAAACAAATGATTTAAGTCACAGGCCCCTTGAAAACTTAATGGATCTGCTGTATAAACATCCTTATCGCAGAACTAACGGCATAAAACCTGTTGTAATTACTTCCAGGTACTACCTACTATCATATAGTAGGTAGCTGAAAATTTTATACTGAAATAGACATTGTTTTTATACCAAACATAGGCATTGATTCAAAAAGGTTACACATCCATATTTATCACATAGAATACAATTTGGTTATTTTACAAGAACTGTATCGTTTATCTCATGCAGCAAATAAAATGCAAAATGTAATTACTATTATCTTCTGTTCCCTTTTCCTTATATAGCCTATGCCTTCATCATTTAATTTTGTTTGTTTGTTTGTTTATAAAATTAATCACAGCTAGCAGGGTGGAAATCACTTTGAGCCTCATGAATGACATCCAAGAGATGGGAAAGGATTAGTTCTCAGTTGCTGCCAGTTATAGCGCCAGGTGGCTTTTTCTGCAGTGAAGGTGTTACCGATAATCCCATTACATTGGTACTAAATCTTGCAGACATCAAAATTATCACCAAGGTTCCTTTTCATCCCATCCTTTCCAAATGACTGGAAGTCGCTTCACCTGAAAGAAGTCAAATCCACATGCAGCTGCTGTTTTAGCAGCCAGCAGACTCCCTGAGAATGCCAATCGTGATCCAATTTCGCTGTGCTGGTGGCCCCTTATTCCCTGTCCAATAATACATCTGTTAAAAAATCCTACAGCTACAAATCAAGTTTAATCCTACCAGGGACCTCATGTTGGTCTTGTCTTCCAAAAAGGCAGCAGGTTTTGCCGTCTATCTCTGCTAGTGTCTGGGGAATACTCTTTAAATCCCAGCCCTACTTAGAAGAATAAGCTAAGGATCACAAAACATGACCTCAAAAACCCTGATATGACTATATTCTGACCCAGAGGCATTCATTCTAGGTGAAGATTAGAACTTTGCATAATAAGATTACACAGCAAGTGAATGATATCAAGGGACTATCCATATGCAGCCGCCTGGTTTTCTATAGACAGCCTGTGCTCTGCAATATGCAGTACAGACGAAACAGAGCTTGGTCTTTCTAGCTGAAATAAAATAGATTCACATAAATTAGTTGGCCATTTCCAGATTCCTAAATCCCCCATTACATCTTTTATTGACAGCTCCTGTGAGGATAGCACAAATGGTATTCTCTTTGTATTCTTTGCTTCTCTAACAATCACACTCCGAGGGAAATGTACATAGGTTGTCTAGAAATTAACATCTTGTTTGCTGTAATCTTGGATTACAATTAACTGTGTACATAATAAAATTAGGAAATCAATGAGCAGATTTATCACTTCCAGATAACCAATGGCATTGTATAAGACAGTTTAACATATGGTGCCAAAAATTTAAATACAGGAAAATCAAAGTCGCAGCCAATGAAAGTGTGGCTAAACAAATTATTGGATTTGATATTAAATAGATTTTTCACTGTAGTAAAAAATTTCCAGTCACATTTGCTTTATATAATGCTTGCTAATTCTGAATTTTCACTGAATAGTTAATGATAGTTTATCAGTTTTTCCTTAGCTAACAGACACTCCTCTCCTAACATTCTCCGCTTCTAACCAGATCCCTTTCTTCATACAAGGTAATCCCATAAGGTGCACCATCTCTTTCCCAAAGAGTTCCTCTGAGATTACTACTTTAAAAACAATCCAAAAACCTAAAACAAAGAAA